TCAAGTCCAATGATTTTCTTGAATATTCGGTTTCATTTTATCTGTCTATCATATTCTGTTTCATCTTAAAGTATGGTATATAACAGCTCTTGTTAATATGAGTTCATCTGTTCTTTAACTTAGCATAGAACTGCTTCGCCCTCAACTGAAATTACTGGTTTTGAGGAAACGTGGGCTGCAGTGTGACAGCACTTGATGGGCACAGGGGCTTCCTAATGCGGTCTGCACATTCAGACTCTACATAGAGTTGTCTCGTAGGGGCAGCACAGTCTCTTGGGCTTTGCTTAGTGGACTTGTTTGCCCTGGCTTCTCACGCTACCTGTTATTAGAAGATACAATCAGCCCTCAGACGTTGAGCTCTGGCCTTATCTCTCTCTTTTAAGTGCACTTCAGTGGCAACCTTTCTAGTCCTCTCTACTGAGGGCTGGATAAATGAAGAACAAAACAAAAGACTAGGGCAGAAAGCATAAGAGAACATTGGAGAGGCCTTTGGAGAGATTGGAGATGTTGAAGTGATTTTTATATATTTTATATTAGAGGATGGGTATTGATTACCTTACAAACGCTGTAGGGATGGGAAGATTAACCGATATGTATCGATACGCGGTCATGCGCGTGCACGATGCGAGTGCATCGGTTGAGCAGCAGAGGATGAATGAAATTTTGGAAGCAAATCGAGATGCATCGGTTTTTGCGAGAAGCATCGATTTTTCCGAGATACAGCTTATATTTTTAATATAGAATGTATTTTTTATTTATTAACAAGTGTTGTTAACTTGTTTTTGGCGCATAATTTAATCGACCTACATAAAGTAAGCCTTAGCAACGGATTTGCGGATGTGCACACACTACAACTCAGTGTATCAGGTGTGCGGATGAAGCTAGTGGAGCGCGCTCAGAAAGCGCGAGAAGCAAAACAAACATTTTATTCCCCACTGAGTTTTAAATCTAAAGTATGGCAAGCAACATTATGGATTTAAGGATGGACGACATGACAGGACAGATGCAATTTGCAAAATGTGCCGCGCATCTGTAAAATACGTGGGCAGTATGACTAATCTGAAATCTCACTTGAAGCGGCGCCACGGTGTTGTTGTGAAAGCATCTTCCAGTGTTTCTGCATCCCCGGCTTTCGCACTGCTTCAACCAGCTCCAAAAGTGGTGAGAACAGCATTGCAAGTTTTCTCCATGCGCAACAGTTCTGCTCGCTCTACGCCAATAACGAATGCTATTGCATTGTTCATCTGCAAAGATATTCAGCCTAGTGTCATGGAGAACGAAGTTTTAAACACCTCCTCCTGTTAATTTTTATTTAATAATAATAATAATAATAATAATAATAATAATAATAATATTAATAATAATAATGATAAAAATAATTGGGTGTCACGATGGCACAGTGGGTAGTTTGACCACCTCACAGCAAGAAGATTGCTGGTTTGTTATATTTTTATTAGCCTGTTGTTTACAGTGACAGTGATGTTTCAAAGCAGCATAACACTGCTAGTTCACAACCTTAAGTTTTGAATAATCAGTGGCAAAATATATCTTTGTAAAACTTGTTTTCATAGTTGAAAAGTTAAATCACAATTCTTGTTGTGCAATGCTAAATTTATTTATGTTGAAAGAGTGCAAATATATACGTATTTTTTAATATATATTGCACTTATACATTCTGTTTATCTTGAAAATACTTGAATAATATGTGCTATATGTTCTAAAATGGCCCTCTACTGTAAACTGACACTCTGGCTCTGAGAGAAGAGCCAGTTTGTAAAAAAAAGTCTTGGTTTTGCTTAGTTTATAAATAATCAAACTCATTCAATGGCACAGCATCCTCTTTCATATAATCTCATAAACTTGATCTAATTAGTTAGTGCTGAATTATCGCATCGTATCGTGATATGGGTGTGAATCGTATCGTGTTGCATCGCAATATGTCACAAATGTATCGCTAATATATCGGATCGTATTCTTTGTATCGAGATACGTATCGGATCGGCATTATAGCTTAGATGCCCAACCCTAAAACACTGACATTTCTCTTTTCTTTATTTCTGATTTTAGGATATATAAGCAAGTGTGTGGGAATCAGCCACTAGTTATAGATCCTTTTCTGTCATAAAAACAGGTTTTTTTATTTTTTCTTAATAAATAAATACATAAACGAATAAATACAAAAAAAAATTATAATATTATTAATGATTATTATAATAATCTACTATTAATCTAATCTAATACTACTATCTAAACCTATAAATCTAATACTTCTTTACTAAAAGAAAATATGTCCATAAACTGTTTATTGCAATAAGTATATTACAAGTTATTTTATTAACTATTCATGAAAAAAAATTATAGACAAAAAATAATTGCCCCAATAGACTGTATCAACAGGTCGCACCACATCTATTTTAGCTGTTGTGACGTGAGCTCATTTGCTCATGCCCCCACACGTCATTTACCTCCTCATGAGTTGTTCCTGCTGTAGGTTATGCATAATATACAGGAGTGCATATGCGTCTTCCTCTGCTTGTAAAGTCATAAACAAGCCCCTATACAATCGATTCATAAGATACTGATCGAGTCATTATACTTATGATTATCAACTAATACCAATTTTAGGCCGACCGATCTGAGCATCCCTAATATAATATATATCTATACACACACATGTGGTACAGGTAAATTGGGTAGGCACTTGTGCGTAGTGTGAATGAGTGTGAATGGACGTTTCCCAGAGATGAGCTGCAGGAGCATCCACTGCTTAAAACATATGGTGGATTAGTTGGCGGTTTATTCCACTGTGGCGACCCCAGATTAATAAAGGGACTAAGCCAAAAAAAAAAAATGAATGAATAAATGAATGAAAGTCTTTAGCATGGATGCGTCTTTGAGCTTGACTTGTTAGTATTTGTCAACCAGAAAAAATAGTCTGCTTAAACTAAGCAGGATCTTGACAGTTAATCCTAGATAAGAAGCTCCCTATCTTAAAGTTCTAAAGCATTTAACGTTTAATGTTCTATATAAGATCCTCTTAACAAATCACTATGTTTACTAAATGAGTAAGGATAGACTCTGAGTTATAATGTATTTCTGTTCCCTAGAAATTTCAAAATGTGTTTGCTATTACGATTGTTACGCCCCTGTGCTGGAAGCATGGTAAGACGGTTATTGAATCAACGCTCTGCCTGGCATCTTATGCCATGGAGATCTGGGGGGGGTCTGAATCACCGTCTTATCTAATCTGAGGTTGATGAGCGGTTTATCCACAAACACTCAATGCGATCTGTGTCTAGACTAATTAAGTTGTCTGGCTTAATCAAATGTTTTGCCAATTTAGTGTCCTGTATGGCTGATCCGAGTCTACCAGGAAAGCTGAGCACATTAACACTGCTGATAAATGAGAGGTAGATCCAGTCAGATCCAGTTGCAAAAGTACTCGTTTTAACAGAAAAACCTATTCAGCGTATCACTGTTTACCTTTTTCAAATGACTCATCATACCTCTTGCAGCATCAGTCATCTGTGCTGTTTAGAGAAAATATCCTGTGGATTTGACTGAGAGAATATCCACATGGCTGAGAATCTCCATTGACATATTTAAGCTGCTTGCATGGTAAAAATATTTAGAGACATTTATATACTATTGCTTAAAATGTTTATTTGTACACTACAGTTCAAAAGTTTGGGGGTTTAAATTTGAGATTAATGTTTTATGTGCTCATGGCCAGTAAGAGCTGTTTGTGTAAACCTTGCTCTGCTACCCTCAAGAGCTGCACTAGTGACTAGCAACAAATTATATTGGTTGTGACAATTACTGATGCTTTTAGCACAGTAAACGATGTTATCACAACATTGTTATTGCCAACATAGGCTCATTCTGAAAACGTAACCTTTATATACGTATCTGGAATTATGTAGCCAGAGCTACGTATGGCTGCATTTAATCTTTAAAGCAAAGCCACGGGGTGGTATGATGTCGTTCCTTTTCTCGCTTAACAGCTGGCCGCTTACCTTCACATGGACGGCTTTCCTGCTGCTAACTTACACTAACAGTGAGAAATAGTCAGGTTTATTATATTTTTTGATAGGGCTGCGCAATGTTGGAAAAATTACACATTGCAATATTTTTATTATGTGATATATAGTGATATGAATACAGTTTCATCAGCTGAATAAATGTTTGTAAAGAATCTATAGCTCTTGATTAGTTGGGTATAAACTGTAGAGGAATGCATAAAATATAAGTATGATAAACAATAAACAAATAAACGATCTACAAGCATTAAATCAATAACGAAAAATATGCTAATTAAATAAATAACATTTTATTGTTTTGCAAATAGTCAAAATGTATTCAGGTATACAGTAATTGAATAATCAAATGTAAAATAATACTGCATAGTCTTTGTTTTAACCATTCCCTAAAACCATTCCCTAAAATTAATTGTTTTAATTTTTTCAAAGTTACAAACAATACATTTTCTTATGCCTAAATGGTTTTTTAAACCTTAAAGTCACACTCAGCCACAAACAGCCTCAAAAATCACTTGCAAAATGGTAAATTATTATCCAGACTGAACATTGCATATACTTGCAACACTCAAAAAAATGATTTGTTGGACTTGCATAAAAAAAGAGTGTCAAGTGGTTCCACGTAACTGTGTTGAGTAGTTTCTACAAGTAACAATATAGTTAAATGAACTAAAGAAATCCAGGTAAAGTTTACAAAATATTTCTTAGTACATTCAACCCATTTAGATGTGTCATTATTGCATTTTAGTTTTATGTATATTTTACTTAGTAATGTTATGTTAGAATTATGAACTTTTAGTATGTAAGGTGAACACTTTATTTATATATATATATATATATATATATATATATATATATATATATATATATATATATATATATATATATATATATATATATATATATATTTCACTTCTAATGTATGTGCTCTACAAGTGTAAAACTTAAATAATCAAACATACTTTTAGAAACAAAATGAATTTATTTTCTTTGCAATGTTTTGCAACATACAACTGCTAAAAACCCATAAAACAATTTCAATTTTCCTTTGAAACAAACACACTAAAACATCAGATGCTTTCAGTTAACATTTACAGGGTCTTTTAAAGTGCAACTGGCTTTAAGAATCTGAAATAATCTTACTTTGAAAAATGTTGTACATGGAATGTTAAAATACTGCTAAAATTCATTTCTGATCTTTACAATCAACAGTGAGAGTAACATTAAAACTGGCCTCTATTTTTGTAAACATTCTCAAACAGTTCAAATAATAGTACAAAAAGAAAGAAAAAAAATGCAAAAGCAACATTTGGTCAATAGTGAACATTCTTACAATGTGCTACTTCAAATATTGGAAGAAAAATGTATAAGAGCAAATTTACAAAAGTAATTTGACATTTTTTTCCAGTGTCACAAAATGCTACAATGCTCAATTGCTGATATTTCAAAAGGTTTAATATATTGTTAAAGTATACAACTGACCTTTATTTATGAAAACCACCACAAAACAACAGCTTGTTTAAAAAAAATAAACATAAAAAAATTTATAAAAGAAGTTTTACTATTGACCAAAATGTTCTTTCAATATGTGCAACTGCAAGTAATAAATTTTACTTTGAAAATGAAAAGGAAAGTTTAAGACAAGCAGCATAAGAATTTAAAAAAAGCAAAGAAAAGAATAAAACTGAAAATCTGAATCTTTGTAAATAATCAAACAATTATAACCATTTAAAGTTGTAGAACTCCATTTAAAACTTTGGTGCCATCGACAAAGATAACTTTAAAATTGGCCCTTAATTTTAAAACTAGAAACAATTTAAGTGTCTCAAAAAAGCTTCTTCCTCTTTTTCTTTCATTCGTACAGAATGATGTACTGATTCAGCCAACAAGTTTGTTTTTGAGAACTTGTATTTTGTGTGACAGTTTATGTGCAAGTCCCAGCAACACTTTCTGAAAAACTCAAAAGTGTATTTCAGGTCTGAAGGATAACTGAGATTCACGCTGTATTTGACTCTCAAAGAAAGAGAACAAGCCTTGGTGACATCGCCAAGGTTCTGAAGCACTTTTACTCCCTCAAAAATCAGTCCAGCAACTGATGGTGGGTCACAGACTTCTACACCTTCAGGCTTAACGATGTAGATTTAAATGACAGTATTGGCCATGTCTCTCTCAAAGTCTGTCGCCTACAAAACACAAAAACAGTATCACTGTTCAGTCAGTTTAATTACATCAAAAATACAGATTGTAAATTTAAAGAATTTTGTATCAACTGTCCATTCCTTAATCTTTCACATCACGCACCTGCAGTGACTTACAAAACTACTTTACTGTGTTTGTTAGGGTGGTCAAAAGTACAGGCTTCTGTACTGAATTTTAAAAAATGTGAAGAAACCATCATTCTTCCAAAGAAATTCAATTGGCCAGTGTTATTGTGCTCAACAGATGTGACTGTGATTGGCAACACTGATAATTGCCACCTTAATCTGCCTAGACAAATCTGCTTGAGAATCTGCTCGACTGTGCTCAAAATTTCCCCAGAAAAATGCTAGCATCATAACAATCTTTTATTTCAGTGCAGACTGGTGCTGAAGTCTGTTCTTTTGACAACCCCAAGGTAAATATACTTTGTGTATTGATATTCCTTGACTATATTATGTGAATTTATGTGATGGCATTTTAAATATTAACTGACTGAGAACTATACTTACTGTATACTCCTTCATGAGGTTTTAATAGTCTTCATTAAGATACACAGAAAGTGCTCTGAGAATGCAAGCTCTCCAAGTTGAGATGGCATCATTCTGTAGAAGAGACATTAGGTATATACAATGAAAAAAACACCATACTAAAGTGGAAATTATTTATAAGCATCATAAATACAGATAACAAACCTTGTCTATGGTAGCCATGAGTTTTCAAATTTTCCGTTTTGCAATTTCTTCTTTTGTACGGTAAATGCTGTCCAGCTTGCTGGTGTAACCATCCAGTTTTGAAAAATGTTTGAATTAGTGGGACAGTAGTGATTCGACTGAATTCAGCAGCAATCTGTAAATTTAAGACACAGGATTATAGTAAGAATAGCTTTCATACAAAGTACTGTCTCATTGTTTTCAGGTTCTTATAGATATGACTAAAATTCTCCCATTCTGAGTCTATATGGCTGCAAGAACACACATGGCAATTGAATGTGGTTACACTTGCAGGTAACCCCGTGTTCTCCTTTGCATGGCTACAATTAAGATGGCTGTGTAGTGCACTCCACGTTTTAAATCTACAGCGACAGTCAGAATAAGTGCATGAAAAACGAATACCACGACCACAATGTCTATGCACTAATCTATAGTGTTTCAACAACTGTGATCTAGTTGTGATGGTTATTTTGCAGTCTTTGCACTGCCACATGCTTTCCTTAAGAAACACGAGTCAGTATAACAGGCTAAAAATGCTAAAGTTCAAAAGACTCCATAATACACTGATATAATAAATTAACATAATTCTGTGAACACTCACATCACGTTTCCTGGTGATATTTAACACTAAAGATTAATGAAATACTCATACCTGACAAAGCCACCATCTTCTCCTCCTCATGTGCTTCACATGTTCCTCTCTCTGACTGTTCCGTTGCTCCGCCTCCAGGTAGGTAGCTACGGTATCAGCAAATATCCAATCTTAAGAGGTTTTTGCGTTTTACTCAACAATGTTAAGTTGGCCTGTCAAACCCTTATTAAGTAAAGCCTACAGTACTACATTTTTGTAGAAATAACATGGTAAACTTATGTTAATTTAATTACTATTATGTTTTATGTAATGTGAACAAGGATGGGTTTAGTAAAACTAACAATAGGGAAAGTTCATTTTTTTGAGTGAAGGTGACCAATGTAAATGAGAGTTATTGAGCATTATTTAAGAAATGAACATCACCTAAGATTAATAAATGCCTTTGTAGTATTCATTGTGAGTAAAATCAATGATTAATATTAAATGGCAAATGGAATGAAAAAATAATCATTGATCATCTTCAACTAATTTTCATGTTTTTTTCATTCTCAACCCTTTCATCTGTTTTTTTACATAACAAACAAGGGTTGAAAAGTCACGAAGTGCCATGTTTTGACATTTTTGCCTGGATTTGAAGATTTAAGCATGCACCTTAAGCTAAAACATTATTTTACATGGGTATGATCTGTTCGTCTCTGAGGCTGAGCACATGTTTACAAAAGCAACAGTTTTCTTTCATGCTTTGAAAAACATGAATGAATCAAATACATGGCAAAAAATGTAGCCAATCTCATGCTGCAAATATCACATCAGGCCAACACGCTTTCATTAATTTCCACATGTAATTGAGCTTTGTGGAGAAATAAATGTGGACTGCTGAAAGGTGGCGGGTATGACGCAATAATCATTTAATCTCAATTAGTGTTTTTTTTTTCATTATCGTTGGAGGCCAAAATGAAATCAAATTTAAATTTCATTAATTGCACAGCCCTAATAGGCATATATCAAAACCTTTTCAATTAATATATCATTTCGAAGACAAGTTGAACATATGAATGTTTGAAAATAAATTGCCTATTAAGTCTTCAAGCATTTTATGCTGTGATGAACAACCATTGCCAATTCAGCAGTCTGAATATTTATAAAAGGCACTATAGAAAGTTTCAATTCTAAATAACTATTAGTGGTATTTTGAAGTGCCACGCATGTTCAAAAATATCACGCATGTTCATTGTCAAAATATATTAAATATCAGCTTAATCACTAGCCACTGATACTAGAGGCTCTGCTTTTAGTTTCATTGTTTGCATGCCTCTCTTCCATGCTGGCAAAAAGCAAATTCTTTTTAGAGTTGGACGAGTAGAACTGGAGGAGTTACAGGTGACCCAGGTGGGAGTAAGGTTTAGGGAGTGAGAAAGGTATAAGGCCAGCTAGTAGGAAGTGTTTGAGTAAACTGCATTCCCCTGGCCTCTAGAGGTGCACTAATGACTAATTCTGAAGGCTTAGCTTTTAGTGATCTGCCTTGTTAGCGTGCCTGCCTCCCTTGCCAGAAATGCTGGTTCAAATCCTGCTAGAGGCAGGGCGAGTAGAACTGAAAGGGGTTACACCATTTAAAATAGGGCTGCTCTTTTGTTGTAAAAAAAAAAAAAAAAAAGAAAAGCTAACATTTTTTTTCTATATACTGTATATTGGCGTCATGTGTATAGTCGAACCGTGCACATATATACAAAGGATTTGCTGATGGGTCAGCTGATTGATGCGGATTTCAGATGGACTAGTAAGCAATTTCAGAGATATAATAACCAAGAGCTACAGTATAATTAACCAAAATAACCAAACTATAAATAACCAAAAACTATAAACCTACATAACTATTGCTGTGCACTTGCTGGCTACTTGCCTGATGGCTGAAATTTCATGATGGCGAAATAGGATGGGCAAATACAATATGGAAACGATTGTACCAGAAGAAAAAAAAAATCTTTATTTGAAAAAAAAAAGAATAATAATAGATCGTTGTATAATGACTTTAATTTTTGTAGGTGTCTGCATCTGCTAAATATAGAAATATAGTATATGAAAATCCCAAGCATAGATAAATAAAATGCAAAAAAAGATACAAATGGAATAATCAGTGACTTTCTGGGGAATCTAACAATTTTCAGATACAAAAATTGAGTGATCAGATGTAAAATAACACTGTATAGTATCCGTTGTATAAATGATTAAATACACGTAATCTTTGTTAAAGCTACAAATGTTATAATTTATAATTGTCCTGGATGCTTTAAACTCACATACCTAAAAACACATGATAAACTTTCACTCTATTATTGTGGTTAATATATTCAGTCACTCCAAAACTGTGATGCTGGTCAACTATAATTCCGACTCGACACTGCACATCCTGCAATATGACAATTAGAAATGCACACATTGCAATGTTGATGCTGGAACACTATATTGTGCAAGCAATAATTAAAAAGATTAACATTGAATGCATGATTGGAAAACTAATGTATAAAAGGCCTTAACTAACTATGACCTCAAACTAAAGTCTTACTGTCATTTGAACACTCTACAGTATGTAATGTAATGTAATGTAATATGACGTGTATTTATATAGCCATTTATCATGTATGGTCATACACCCAAAGTGCTTCACAATCATGAGAGGGGGTTCTCTCCACACCACCACCAGTGTGCAGCATCCACTTGGACGATGTGAAGGCAGCCACAGGACAATGGCGCCAGTGCGCTCACCACACACCAGCTATAAATGGAGTGGAGAGAGACTGTTAGAGCCAATTCAGTGGATGGGGATGATTTGGAGGCCATGGTGGGATAGGGTCGATGGAGTAAATTTGTGTGCCATGGGATTTTTAATGACCACAGAGGGTCAGGACCTTGTTTAACGTCTCGTCTGAAAGACGGTGCTCACTGACAGTATAGTGTCCACTTCACTATACTGGGGCATTAGGGCTCACACAGATCGCAGGTTGAGTGCCAAATGCTGGCCTCACTAACACCACTTTCAACAGCAACCTAGTTTTCCCATGTGGTCTACTATCCAGGTACTGACCCGTCTCATCCCTGCTTAGGTTCAGTGAGTAATCGGTCTTGGAATGCAGGGTGATATGGCTGTGGATTTATAAGTAAATCAGCTCTATACATCGGCAATGTAAATTCTGGTCTCTCGAAGGCTATACTGTCCTACAGGGTTTAGCTCCATTCCTAATTAAACACATCTCAACCAGCTAATCAATGTCTGCAGGATTGCTCAAAAGTCCCTGTGTTGAAAGAAGCTTTAGCTGAATTCTGTAAGAAAGTGACCCACAAGTGAGCTTAGACCTTCACCGATTTTTAATTATGCACACTCATTTTCACTGCTTTTGCATTTAGATTACCTTTGGTCACTCAAAGTTAATTTAAAAAACCCCAGTATCTTAATAGCGCTGCTAAATATAATGATTATTAAATTTAAATCCATTTTTCAAGCCGTGGATAATCAAGGAATGATCGATTTTAGCATTTTATTTTGAATTCGTTTGCACAAAGTAGCATAGAATGTAATACTGGCTGCTAGAATTTTAATATTGGTGTATCCCTGAAGTCATGTGATCCATAACTAGTTGGCGTAGCAAAACTAATCTAGTTGGTGCAACCCCCTAGGATGTGATGGAGTAGGTGTGGCTGTGCTCTCTATCATCTTTCCGTGCTTTTTTTCGTTTTCTCCCCATCTCTCCCAGGAGTGTTGTACTGCATCAGGTTCTGTCCTAGCTTCTCGCTCCAATCCTAAAATAGCGACAAGGAGAAAACAGGAAAATGTGTCAAGGTTAGAGTGAAACAGCTCACCGCCTCCCCTGCGAGATTAGCAAACGTGACTCTACTCCACTTTTAGAAGAAGTGATGAAGCATTCACAGCAGAAACAGAGGAGAGCAATGAAACACTCTGGCTCCAGATGAGATTTAACCTGGTTTCTGAAGAATTAAAAAGGGGAAAGGATGTGTGAGTCATCAGCACTTATAGAGACGTTTTGTCGAGCAGAGGGAATGGTGCTGTTGTTAGCATGGTTAGCATTAGGGCTGGGCAATAAACGGTATCATATTGTGATCATTTATGCTGGCATCACTTATAGTATATGGACATTTTCAGTCAATGTGGATTATCTAACAGTTTGTTACACAACAGAATTACATCGCTGCATGACATTAGCCAGTCAGTGAAAGCCGTTAATATGTCTGAATTTAGGGAAAAATTTAAAATGAATGTCAATAAAGGTAGTTTACTGTGTTTAGTTACTGTTTTATTAATGTTCATTCTCAGGGTCTAACAAACACATAGAAAGCATATTATTATTATTCAGATAATATTTTTTAGCATTTCAGATAAATTGATTAAATAATAAATGAATAAATAAATAAATAAATAATAATAATAATAATAAGGGTCAGTGTATTATTATTATTATTATTATTATTAATATTATTATAAAATACTATTACTACTACTAATATAATAACTATAATAATTATTTAATTTATTATTTTTATAATATAAACATGAAATTGGCTATTGATTAATATTTATATTTAATTTATTTTATGGGACATTCAAATATAACTCATTCATTCATTCATTCATTCATTTTCTTTTCGACTTAGTCCCTTTATTAATCTGGAGCCAGCACATGTTTTACGCAGCGGATGCCCTTCCAGCTGCAACCCATCATTGGAAAACACTCATACACTCTCATTCACACTCATACACTACAGACAGTTTTAGCTTACCCAATTCAGCTGAACCGTATATGTCTTTGGACTGTGGCGGGAACCGGAGCACCAGGAGGAAACCCACGCGAACACGGGGAGAACATGCAAACTCCACACAGAAATGCCAACTGTCCCAGCTGAGCCTCGAACCAGTAACCCTCTTGCTGTGAGAGGACAGCACTACCTACTGTGCAATAAAGTCGCCTCATATTGAACTCTTAGTATTGAAAATTAATTTAGGTTTGTTTTGTTTTCAGCAGACAGCATGCATAAATGGAATTTTTAATATTTTAATGACCTGTTATTAAATTCCATATTTATTTTATTTTATTTAAAATTTTACATTTTACATTTATTTTATTTTAGTTTTTTCAAATAAAATGAAGCACATTTAAACATTAATATTTTTCTGCCATGCCGAACTTGCCATCTTTGGCTTCACACAAAACATATCTTCTCTCCTTCAAACAATGCAAGAGTCTTGATTGCATTGCATGGTTGCAAGGCATGGTTGTGGCTAAAAGACTGTTGCTTAATAATTGGAAATCATATTTCCCCCCTCTTACCAGAACTGGATTCCTGATATAATATCTGTTATTCAGATGGAGATACTCAGATTTTTATGGACTAGGTCCCATATAATGATTTATTTGACAAATCCATATCTCAAGAGCAATCCAGTGATCCCTGTGAGGTTTAAGTTATATACCCTCTCTAGTTTTGATTGCATGTTTTGTGACTATGATGTGTGTGTGTGTGTGTGTGTTTTTTTTTTGTCTCCCTTGCTTTTTTTGGTTTCTTTTATATTGTCTTTTGCATGTCTAAAGTACGAGCCAAAGTTTTTTCTTGTTCTGTGTGTGTATACTTATATAAAAAACTTAAAATAAAGTAATAATAATAAAAAAAACATTAATAATTTAGAACTGCTGAACTGTGCGAAACAGCAGCACATCATAATCATGTACAATTGGTGTAATTTTAAACTCAAGTACAACCTGTTCAAATGCAACTCACTTCAGTACCACTTTTCTGAATTTATTATTTTCCATCTAATTCATAGCCGTTTTCATTATTCTTTTATTGTAATAAATTTATTTTGTCATTGACGGTAAAAAATGTGTAATATTGGAAATTATGTGATGAAATATTTAGCATTATCCAGTTAGCCTCCTTTATTACATATGCAAATTACTCTTTCAAAATTTCCTTTCTTTATAAAAACAAAAGTAAATAGTTTTTTTTTATTTTTTTTCTGCTCAGTAGGTGCCGATAATGGAAACCACCAAAAGTGTGACTCTAACTCCATGTGTGGTCTTAAAACTCTGGAAAATGAGTCCAGGGGAAGCGTATATTCCTGCGGCACAGCCGGTTTGGATTGTGTGGAAAAGTCAGCCGGATTTATTTTAGATTCGGGCTTTAGTGTCGAGTCTTGGGAATTACTAGCTGTTTTTGCTTCTATCGCAACTCCTTTTTTTTTTTTTCTTTAGCTCGACTATGCTTTGTTTTTAACAGGTGACATTTATTCTCTGTTAGAAAATATACAAAGAAAGCAGTGAAGTCTGATTTCCCAGTGGTCTTTCTCACCCTGATCTCTTTCATTCTTTCTTCCACTCAAATTTTTGTGTTTGTGTGCTGATGTTAACCATCTTCTTTCTCTCTGGAAATAGCAGCCCGATGGTCCTCCGTGCGGTCACAGTGGGTTGCCCTCTACCGTAATGACATTTTCATGCCTGTTGTTCCTTTATGACCAGATGTATTTGGAGTTCTGGGGCTTTGGGAATTCGACTTCTTCTGCAGATGATAGTCTACAATAGTCTCTGTTATCCAGCTCTGAAGAAAACTCCACTATTTAACTTTTCACGCTCAGAGAGCAGGAATAATCGAGAACATTATTTATTTATTGGCTGAATGGGATAAAACACACAGTCAGTTTTAAGCATGTAAAGAAAGAGACAGTGTGCTGTGTGCATTAGCAACAGAGGCTTACAGTAATGGCTTTCTTCTGAACTGCTTTCATGTGTAGCGAATGGGGTTGGCTTGATATCCAGATTTTGGCTTTTGTGCAATGCCCAGGCCCTGGTATCTTGGTAACAATAATAAATTGAAATCATTGATGTTGGATGATAGATATGCATATTAGGCAGTGCAAATGGTATTTTATCAATTGATTTGTAACTTTTTGTTATACCTACAGTTTGCATTTATATATACACACAAAGGAGGCATCAAATAACATTTTATTCAGTTTTATAGTAGAACTTTGCCATATATATATGTGTGTGTGTGTGTGTGTGTGTGTGTGTGTGTGTGTCTGCATTTTTATACCTGTTATTAATCTTTTAAAAATAAAACAAAATTTTACAAAATCATTGTATTAAATGTTTACTTATATTAATAGTTGCTTTAATTTTATACTTATTCCTGTATAATTAAATTTGAATTAATTAAAATGCTTTATTATATTGCAAATTCTCTAACTGATGTATTAGTTTAATTAACCAGAATAATTCTATAATATTTTATTTTATTTTTGCATCAGTTTAACAATTGTCATTGTTATTGTCATGTATTTTGCCATCAATCATCCATACTTTATTTAATTACAAAATCCAAAATTAATGGATTTAGCATTTTCAACTTATTTTTAATTTAATTTTACTTTATTATTTACTTTATTTTATAATATTTTAATTTCATTAAATTTCATTAAACATCATTTAATTTAATTTTATTTTTATATTACATTATATTATAATATATTAAATTATATTTGTATAATATTGTTTTATTTTGTATTTAATTTGGTTTGATTTGATTTTTTTATTACTTTTTTTTATTTTATTCATTGTCATTAG